AGACGCAGTCTAGCTCTGTTGCCAGGCTGGAGTGCAGTGGCGCGATCTTGGCTCACAGCAACTTCCGCCTCCCTGGTTCAAGCAATTCTCCTGCCTCAGCCTCCCAAGTAACTGGGACTACAGGTGTGTGCCTCAATGCTCAACTAATTTTTTGTATTTTTAGTAGAGATGGGTTTGCACCATGTTGGCCAGGATGGTCTCAATCTCTTGACCTTGTGATCTGCCTGCCTCGGCACCCCAAAGTGCTGGGATTACAGCCTGGGATTGGGGTTTTTAAGGATAATTTGGTGGATAGGGGGCCACCAAAGAGTCAAGAGTGCTGATTGGTCAGGCTGGAGATGAAATCATAGGGAGTCGAAGGGGTTCTTTTGTGCTGAGTCAGTTTCTGAGTAGGAGTCTTAAGACCAGATGAGTCAGTTCATCAATCTGGGTGATGCTAACTCATTCATTGAGTACAGGGTCTGCAAAATATCTCAAGCACTGATCTTTGGTTTTACAATAGCAATGTTATCCCCAGGAGCAATTTGGGGAGGCTCAGAATCTTGCATCCTCCAGCCTCATGACTTCTAAGCCATAATTTCTAATTTTGTGGCTAATTTCTTAGCCCTGCAAAGGCTGTGTAGTCCCCAGTCAGGAAGAGGGTTTGTATTAGGAAAGGCTGTTACAGTCTTTCTTTCAAAGTTAAACTATTGACTAAGTTCCTCCCAAAGTTAGTTTGGCCTATACCAAGGACAGCTTGGAGGTTAGAAGCAAGATGGAGTCAGGTAGGTCAGATCCCTTTCACTGACATAGTTTTCTCAGTTGTAATTTTTGCAAAGGTGGTTTTGAAGTGTGGAAAAATATTAAATGGATAACTGTTAATATTTTTAAAGGGTTGGATAGCCTTGTCCCATTGAATCCTCAGAATAACCCTGTGAGATTGATATTAGTATTGTCCCCATTTTACAGAGGAAGAAATTGAGGCTCAGGGTGATTATGAAACTTGCCTAAGCGAGGTCACAGCTAGGCGGTGCTGGAGCAGGAACTGATTCATATTTGTTTTGCTCCAATAACTGTCACCAGAGCATTACCCAAACTTTATTCACTCATGTGTAAACTGTCATAGCTCTTGTCATATCTAATATCAACTTATTCTACTGTCACATATTTGCATCATGTATGGGAACATTTTACCACTCTCTCCCTATAACATGCAATGGCCCAGGCTCTGAACTACTGAAGTGAACTGAGTTCAATTCTGATTCCACCACAAGCTGGACCATCCTGGGAAAGCTACTTAACCTCTCTGAGCTGCAGTTTTCCCATCTCTCAAATGGGGCGCACGAGCTCAATTTGCTGGCTAATAGAGAGACTAAGTAATATGAGAGAAATAAATTACCAGGGACACTGTAGGTGCTCCATAAATACTTTGTTGGAAGGACACTCAAGAAGTAGAATTTATCTCTATTTAATGAGCTCTTCTAAAAGACATAGCCATAGTTACCATGTTTCCAACAACATCATCAATATTGATGAGTTTCCTTGCTTCCTAGGACTCCCCAGAAATGTCCAATTAAGTACTTGTTAAAATTGGAATGAAAATTTAATATCCTATAGTTTGAGATAACATCAAAAAGCCTTGTTACTGTATTTGGATCATATCAAGGAAACTAGATAAATATGTTTGCTGTAGTTTTTTTTTTTGGTGTGTGTGTGTGTGTTTGTGTGTGTGTGTGTGTGTGTGTTTTCTGCTTACTTGTGGAAACCGTAATGACAATATTATACCATGACTGAGAGTGTAGATTTGGGGGTCAATAAGACCAGGTTTTAATTTCTGATCACTCAATTCATTGACTTTGTGATATTGATTATCTAATAGTTCTCTGCCTCAATTTCATTAGATAAGTTGGGAATACTTCAGCTGTAAGTTGTAACCACCAAAACAAAAAGCCAACAGAGACAGAAACAAAGAGGTTACAATTTTTCCTCACTTAAAAGGGTGCAGAGGTAGCAGTTACCGTGCTTCAATAGCTCCAGAATGTCCATGCTTTGTGGTTCCCTGAGCTTTTTCTTAAGGTCACGGGATGCCTAACCCAGTTCACTTTTATGACAGGGAAAAGACAAACAAGTAGAACCATGGACATCTTATCATTTGCAAGACAACAAACCTGCTCAGAAACTTCCCAGCAATCTTCTGTTCCGGCTTCCCTGGCCTGAAATGTGCCATAAAGGCCAAGTCACAGGGGGGCCTGGGAAGGGCTCCAGAGTGGAAGTGGCTGAGGAATGGGGAACTGCCGTGAGGATGAACGGAGATAACGCATACAAAGGGCTTGGCACTGCGCCGGATTGTACAAACACTTCATTCATACTCGCAGTGATTGGCATTTTCATAATCAGGGGATGTTTGAACTGGAAGAGGGGAACTGAGCCCCGATTCCAGTGTTTTACAGGGAGTGAGTGTTAGATGCAGGGCAGAAACCTGAGTTTTTGCCAAACTGGATGCTCCATGAGGGGAGGGTTTATGTCTTTCTTGTCGATTAGCCCAGCTCAGTGCCTAAAAGTAGATAAACATAAGGTGCTGCTCAATAAATGTTTGATAAATGAATTCATACGTAATGAAAATTTGATATATTTCATTAAAATTATTTTTTTATTTCCATAGGTTTTTTGGGGTAACACGTGGTTTTGGTTACACGAGTAAGTTCTTTAGTGGTGGTTTGTGAGATTTGGTGCACTTGTCACCCGAGCAGGATACACTGAACCCAGTTTGTAGTCTTTTATCCCTCACCCTCTTCCCCTTGAGTCTCCCAAATCCATTATGTCATTCTTATGCCTTTGCATCCTCATAGCTTAGCTCCCACTTACGAGTGAGAACATACAATGCTTGGTTTTTCATTCCTGAGTTACTTCACTTAGAATAATAGTCTCCAATGCCATCCAGGTTGCTGCGAATGCCATTAATTCATTTCCTTTTATGACTGAATAGTATTCCATTATACACACACACACACACACACACACACACACACACACCACAGTTTCTTTATGCACTCATTAATTAATGGGCATTTCGTTGGTTCCACATTTTTGCGATTGAGAATTGTGCTGCTATAAACGTGTGTGCAAGTATCTTTTTAATATAATGACTTCTTTTCCTCAGGGTAGATACCCAGTAGTGGGATTGCTGGATCAAGTGGTAGGATAATTTGGTGCCTTTCTTAAAGATTTTATTGTTCACCATTCTCAAAAGCCATTTATTGATTTTCTATTTAATAAACTTCAGAATATAAGAGCCATAAAGCTGGAACTTTTGTCAGTATATTAATTATCTGTTGCTGTGTAACAAATTATCCCTAAATTTACCCGCTTAAAATATGAACTTTTAAAAATTCTTTTTTTTCTCTTTATTAAAATGAAAGATTGCCTCAAGGGCCAGCTGGAAAAATAATGAACATTTCTTATCTCACTGTTTCCGAGGTCAGCCATCCTACAGCAGTTTAGATGGATGCTTCTGGCTCACAGCGTCTCGTGAATAGTTATGATGCAGTCAAGTTGTTGGTCTGGGCTAGAGGCACTCAAAGACTTGCCTGGAGTTGGACAACATGCTTCTGAGCAGGCTCACACACGTGGCTGTTGGTTGGAGGCCTCGGTTCCTCACCATGCAGACCTTTCTATAGGGTGGCTTGAGTTCTCATGATACAGCAGCTGGCTTCCTGAGAAGAACAGCAAGGAGCAAACTCCAGTGCCTTTTATGATTAGTCTTGGAAATCATCCAATGCCACCCACACAACCTTTTATTCCTTAGAAACAAGTCCCTGGACCCAGCCTACACTCCAGGGGAAGGGAAATAACTTCTGCCTTTTGGAGATGGGAGTGCCAGAGAATTTGTGGACATATTTTAAAACCACCTCCATCTTTTTTGTGCAATGATTTCTAGCATCTAAATTGCTTTAACAGAAGTAGTTCCTGTTTTTAGGTCTTGAACCTTATACAACTGGGGGCTTCCTGAAAGAAAAAGAACACAAAATTACTTAGGATAAGTTAATGTTTATTTAGAATAAAAGAAGATAGTACAAAAAATTGTAAAAATTTTAAATCTGACAAATATCACTAATATCATAAAATCCCCCAAAATAGCATCTTTTTAAAAATTAACTAACTGCTTTTTTTTTTTTTTTTTTTTTTTAACAGAGTCTCACTCTGTTGCCCAGGCTGGAGTGCAGTGGCACGATCTCAGCTCACTGTAACCTCCGCTTCCTGGGTTCAAGCCATTCTCCTGCCTCAGCCTCCCAAGTAGCTGGGATTACCGGCACTTGCTATGATACTTTTGTCCTATATGTCTTAGCTATAATACACTTTAATTACCTTTTAACAATACTGAATTATTATTTTATGGAGAGAGACTATGAAAAAGAAGATTTAGTCTTTTCTCCATCATGATCCATCAGAATTTTAAATTTAATATAATTTAATTTAACTCTAGAGACAGGGTCTCACTCTGTTGCCCAGGCTGGAAGGCCATGGAGTGATCATATGCTAACTGCATCGTCAAACTCCTGGGCTCAGGTGACCTTCCTGTCCCAGCGTCTAGAGTAGCTGGGACCACCAGTATCAGCCACCACACCTGACCAATTAATTTTTTTTTTATTTTTGTAGAGATGAGGTCTTGCTATATTTCCCATGCTGGTCCTAAACTCCTGGCCTCAAGTGATCCTCCTGCCTCAGCCTCCCAAAGTGTTGGAATTGCAGGTGTGAGCCACTGTGACTGGCATGATTGATTTAAAAAAATTAAATTATTATTGTCAGTTTTGAAAATTTTCTTTTGGCTTCACCATTTATTACTGGTCAGGTGTTGTAAAATTTTAGGATTATGGTGTTAAATTTGAGAAAACATATTTCTTTTTTACATGATCTCTAAGATTTCAGGGCAATTCAAGTTTTTTTGGGCAACAATTAATCTTAAATGCTCTTTGAAGGATGACACTCATTCACCAGGCCTGTAGTTTCTGTCCTCTTTGTAAAGATGGAGCATGCGTTTTATGTTATCTTTATCCATTCGAATACATCATGTCAAGTCAACAAGAAGTTTACTTCATTTTCCTGGGTGATTCTATCATTTACTCCTCTTGAATAATAGGATGATTAGATAACCCAATAGTTTACTCATTACTTTTATTCAAAAGTCTATCTTGTTCTTAATGGTGTGATCTATGTTCTGTTTCAACAGAGAATTCACTGAGAGTTGAAGGTCAAGGTGCTTCAAATATCATGAGAGGTGGCTGGGCAAGTGGGTCACACCTGTAGTCCCAGCACTTTGGGAAGCTGAGGCGGATAGGTCAGCTGAGATCAGAAGTTGGAGTTCAGCCTGGGCAACATGGTGAAACCCCATCTCTACTCATAACACAAAAATTAGCCGGGTGTGGTGGCACACACCTATAACCTCAGCTATTTGAGAAGCCAAGGCTTACACCCTGGAGGAGGAGGTTGCAGTGAGCTGAGATCATGCCACTGTACTCCAGCATGGGGGACAGAGTGAGACTTTGTCTCAAAAAAGAGAAACAAAAAACAAAAAATCATCAGAGGCCACCGGATTTGTTGGAAATGCACTAACTGTGACTATCCTGTGTGTTCTCACACACTTGCTTGCTGTTTGTGGAACTGCAACACTAAAAGGTGAATTTCAGGGTCTGCATATACAGTTTTATTGGAACACGGCTACGCTCATTCTGTGCGGAAGGTTTTGTGTGACAATGTCAGAGGTCAGTAATTGCAACCGAGGCTACAGGGCCTATAAAACCTAAATAATTTGCTATTTGGCTCTCTACAAAAAATTTGCTGACCAACTACCCTCCTATGACAATAAGTCAAAGACATACACACCTCCTAAGCCTCACTGAAGCCATGGTCAATTTTCAGTCCTGAGTACATACCAACCTGTAGGCTGTCTCAAAATTCACCTCCCTTCTATTCTTCTGCCTGGAACATTCTTCTCTCTCCTAGCCATTTTTCCATCTGATCCCGTTTATTCTTCAGACAATGTCACCTAATGGGGAAATACTTCTCTGAACACCGGTCTAAAACAGGTCCTCCCTGTTATTTATTTATTTTTTGAGACAGAATCTATTGCCCTGGCTGGAGTGCAGTGGCGTGATCTTGGCTCACTGCAACCTCCACCTCCCAGGTTCCAGTGATTCTCCTGCCTCAGCCTCCTGAGAAGCTGGGATTACAGGCACCCATTGTCATGCCGGGATAATTTTTGTATTTTTGGTAGTGATGGGGTTTTACCACATTGGCCAGGCTGGTCTTGAACTCCTGACCTCAAGTGATCCACCAGCCTTGGCCTCCCAAAGTGCTGGTATTATAGGCGTAAGCCACTGCGCCCGACCCTTCCTGTTTTACTCTTCACGATAGTTTCCTGCTCGTTTCCATGAGAGTCCTGCCCATGGTTTGTAATGATTGAGTCTTCTTGTTTAAAGTTGTTGTCCTCTTTACTCTGTAAACTCCCTGTCAATAGAAACTACGCATGTCTTATCACGATAGGTAAAAAATGTGGGCTTTGAAATCATATGGCCTGGAATTGAATCCTGGCTCTGTTACTTGTGAGTCATGGTAGCTTGGGTAAGTCACTTCACCTCTCGGCTTCTCAGTTTTCTTGTCTGTAAAATGGGTGCAATCATAGTAACTACTGCATTAAGTTCTGAAGGTTAAATGAGTTGATGCAGACACATCAGTAAGAACAATACCTGCTCATCACAAGCACTTGATAAGAGTTATTAATACTCAAAACTTTATCTTCAAGGTCTTGTACAAAAGAGCTAAATGAGTATCCCTTTAACAAGTGCAACATTTTTTCTGAATGAAGCATTTGTGGAATGAAGGCTTTATCTAGATGAATAAATAAATATCTCGCACCTTTCTTCTCTTTAATCATATGCTGCTGTACTGAAACATTACGAGCCTCTAATTTCATTTAGCACATGAAAGACAAGGATTACCCTTGATTTACAAAACAAAGTTGAATCAGTAATGCAAGAGTTTGAATTTTTTAAAAATTAAATCCCCCCGCCCCCAACTCCCCCAGGATAGTATTAGTATGCCATGGACAGACTAAAACCTATAAAATATCATGAGGCCTACATTCACGCCACAATAATGCAAAAAATCACTCCAAGACTCAGTGGCTTAAAATGGTAATTATTTATTCTCACATAAACATTTGCAAGTTAGCTGGTGGTTAGATGACCTACAGTAGGGGGTCTGGGCTGGGCTTCAAGTTACCGGCTGCGTCCAAGTTTGCTCCAGTTGGCTTCCGTCTTCCTAGGACACAGACATGTGCATATCAAGGCGATGTCAGAAGTGCAGGAGAGCCAGGCCCACCGTGCAAATCCACAGTGGCTTTGCTGGCATCACGCTTGCCAACATCTTACTGGCCAACAGTCAAAGGGCCAAGTCCAACATCCTTAAGTCAGGGAAGGATATTCCTCCAAAGTAGGGAAGAGTAAAAAATTCCTGAACACAAAATCAAACTATCTCAAGACCTGTACCCAAATAAAAATTAAAACTCATGGGCCGGGCGCGGTGGCTCAAGCCTATAATCCCAGCACTTTGGGAGGCCGAGGCGGGTGGATCACAAGGTCAAGAGATCGAGACCATCCTGGTCAACATGGTGAAACCCCGTCTCTACTAAAAATA